CTGCAGCCTTTTCCACCCTTGGGTTCCCAGATGTTGTTGGATTGTGATCACTGACACGCCAGTCCTGCAAGCTCTGGTTCTGTTAGGTCACTATTGGAAAACATCCAATGTACCGTTTAGGCAATCTCCTTTTCAGTATTATTGCTCAGCCTCCTGGAAGTTCAGCATCTTGTCCACGATGCCAACTCCACTGATCAGTGTGGGGAGTTCAGAATAGTCACTAATGCCAGTGAGCTTTCCAGAGCACTGGGGCACTGGGAGCTTGAGGAATGCTGGGTCCTGATCCTGACGTTGGACCTCTTATTGTAGTCAACTGTAGCTGTGGCAATGGGCTGGGTTTATCTTCAACTGAAAACAAGGCAGTTGGTTACCTCCTCCCAGATTCCATAAATGCCATCCAATCATCCCATTCTATACCATACTGAATCTCTCCCACCCCATCCATAGGCAATTAGTTTTCATCCACTGAGTAGGCAACAAAATGCAAATTTTTGAATCCAGACCACCATCTGCCAAATCTGCTTTGATCTGGATTCCTGAATTGAGCAAGGGGTTGGCTTTGTTGGCTTTATAAGCCCCTTCTAACTATGATTCTGTTGTCACAGGCTAGAGTGCAAAACGGGATTTTAATTTTGCTTATCTCAATATTGATTGAATAGATATGTCTTTACATTGTAAAACCATCTTACCATGCTGTTAAAATACAGACAATATTTCAAGATCAGCACAGCAGGAATCTCAAGCTTCATAGCTGGATTATTGTGCTAAAAATCATATGTCCATATGTATACAAAATATATATTGATTGGCAAAAATCCTGTTGTACCGTTATGCAAAAGATATAACTTTTAGCAGTGAATTGCTGTAAGTAAAAAAAATCTCTGCAGGCATTATCAATTACGCACTGAGTTATGCAATTCAATACGCAACAGGTAATGGCTACAGAGATTTCTTAACTTACAGCAATTTGGCACTAAAAGTTACATGTGTAACATGTGATTCAGCTACTGCATTGAATCCTTGTTGGTGAACTACAGGGCTCCTCCCATTCACAGAAGGCACTAGGTTCCTGTGGAAGCTCAATGAACCAATGAGGTGGGGAGTATTGATATTCAAGTATTTCCTGTTTTGGGTCTTCTCTCATGCTTCTCCAAATCTCCCCCCCTCCGGAGGGCACAGGTGGAATAAGCAATTATGAAAATCACTTGTTCTCTTCTTTTAGGCCAAGCAAAACTCCACCAAGTACACCTGTAGCTCTAGCTGATTGCACTGCTCTCTGTATTCTGATTTCCATATTACCCCAATAATTGCATGTAAAGAAACGTGCAAAACTTATGCCAAATAAAAGTGGTTAGTCATTAAGGTGCCCTAAAGACTCTTGCGTGTTTATTCAGCAAGAGATGACAAATTAATATGGCGACCCTTCTAGAACTTCCTGTAATTTTAACACTACACGCTCTTGTAGGGAAAGACCTATAACCAATCCTCTTTGTATAATTGTTGTTGTTATTACTACCATATTGTTTTGTGGGTGGCTTTGATAGCCTAGAAATGGCATTACCATGACAACTCTTAAAAGCAATTGTGTGAGTCAAGGGAAAGAGCCAACCATGTTGCCAGAATCTTTATTTTTAATTGCTCGGGGGTGCCATTTCTTTTTATTGAGAATGCCTGGCATCTGGGATGAGATTGGATCTAAGCTGATAGTTTACAGATATGGAATGAATATTTATCTCATTATCCTAATTAGAAGCCTTGGCCATGACTATCTTTTTTCTCTCACCCTATACCCCAAGTCCTGAAAATATGGGTGCAACAGGAGGGATACCTGTGTGATACTATTTTAAACTACCTGGCATTTGAAGAGTAGACTTAACAGCACATGATAACAAAGTGTGTTTGTTTCTGGGAAGGATTACAGCCATAGAGCAAAATTTGAGAATCTGTTTATTCAGCTATATTTAATTTTGCAGTAACCAAAGTGTGAAAACTTGAGTTGAACTCAACTGCCAGAAATGGTTCAGTACCTCAGTTTCCACATCCAGACATGCATTAACCTTCTACAATTCTGAAAATAAGAATTACTCGGTGTTATGTTAATCTGCTTTTAGGGAAGCATCTTCAGTCTTAAATTTCAATGTTTAACTATAACACTTTAACTCTATACACCACACTTAAATGTTGCATGCAGAGATGTTGCATTGAATATTTATTTATACTGTATCTTATAAAGTGGTGTTTTCATCCACTATTCACCAATTTTGGCTTGTGTGAAAAACGATAAAGTCCAAATAATTTAAATATAAAACAATGTCCCATGAAAATTCAGTTGAATAAATGAATTGATCACTTTCAGGGTTTGTTTCTTTGTTTTGGTTCAGCCAATGTAATGGGGAGCTGGGTAGCAAGGGTAGAGCTTAGGAAAGTTATTAGTTTGGATTGCTGCTTCCAGTGCCCTTGCTGGTTGGAGAATTCTGGGAACTGCAGTCCAAATAAGTCATTTCCCCAAGCTTCAAAATTCCTGCCATAGTCTAGGATCAACATGAAGTCACCATCCTTTCAGAGAATAAATGTCAACTGAAACAGGAGCCAGAACTGCAGTCAAACAGAAAGGTCAAACTGACCACCAGCTGGTAGCTCAATGGCATGGGTTAGTAAAGAAAGTGCTAATTTTATGGAAAGGACAACTCAGCACCTGAAGTTACTGTCTTATCTCTGGCAGGCTTCTGGAGTCCCCCTGTGAGGGAAATCTAGGGTCTGACATGGAAACAGTTGGAACTCTTGATGCCAGACAAGATACAGTTTAGGCCAATGATGGCTACTTTAAAGGATATCAGTAGCTTTGCTCTTCACATACTTCACTAATGATGTTGTTGTTTGAGCATGCTCCAACTTGTATGCCTTTTCCACAATATGCACTCCTCAATATGCATTGCAAGTTAACAGAAGGAAATGATGCTATCGTAACTGTGAAATGTTATAATGTAATCAGTTTTAATTTGTCCCCCATAATCTATTTGTTCCAATGCTGTTTTTGGTCACTAATGGATGTGAATGTGATGCAAAAAGTTCTGTAGTTGGAGTTTGATGCATGCAGATTACCCACTCATACAGCATGTGCTTTGCTTGTGAACTCGACTTAATCCAAAATTAGTTTTCTTTCTTTCTTTTACTTTTATTGAATCCTTCACATATAGTGCAGGAGTTCAACTATTGACTCCCCCCCCCCAGTCGTCTTCATCTAAATCAGGGTCCTTGCAGTTGTTTTTTTTTAGTTTTGAAAAAAGAAAGATATTGGTGATTCTATCTACATCTTTGAAGGAATGTGTAGTTTGGCCCTTGACACTAGGGCTAAGGAGAAGACTACAGATCAAATTAGATGAGATAAAGAACCACCAGGAAATCTTTTTTGAAAAGCAGTCATCACTACTGTGATCAAAACCAATGAAGACCGGTGAGTCCTTTGCCCCAGAAGAAGTAAATCCACTCTAGGTTTCAGCCCAGTCTTTAAAGTAATTTTCTAAGGTGCTGAACCTATTTGGAGGATTAGGTCTAGCACATTTCAGAGAAATACTCAATGGGGATCATAAGTCTTGTGGTTATGTTACTTATGGGGTGACTAAAAAGGTTGTGTGTGTGTCCTGTCTTCTATTGTTTAGTCCATCTCCATGGCAGCCAGCAGTCCTCGCCTGACCATCAACTCAATCTTAATTAAAGAAGGGGGGAAATGGCTGGCTCCTTTCACAGAGCGTTTCAAGCAGGGGAAGTGTGGCCAGCCAGGGATCCTGCAGAGTGATGAAGAGATGCATAATAGAAATAATGAATAACAGAAAAAAATTGAAATCTAATAAAAAGGGGAGAAAAGTAACATCCCTTGACCATCTTGCAATCTTTATAAGTTTGAAAACTAAAACAAAAAGAAATTCTAGAAGTTCATAAGAATGAAGCAGAAAAATGGAAGCCACTTTCATGGGGAAAATCTTGGGAAATTGCAAGACAAATCCTGGCACAAAAAGGCTTCACCTTTTTTCCAAATTGCAGCTTACGTGGAATTACAGAGCCTTCAGTGTTTAGCCAATTAACTTTCAACACAAGATCAAACTACATGAGATGCCAGCTTCACAATTAGAAAGTGATAAAATGTGGATCTTCTATAAATGAACTCATTCAAAGCTACGCAGTTTACTTGCAAATGAAGCCTATTGCCAGATGACCAATTCCCAAACAAAAGCCAACTGATTCACAACTTGAGGATCAGCAGAAACCAAAGTGTGATGACAATCAAATGTCCTTTACCTCTTAAGGACATAACTGTAATTGTGGCTCTAATTATGAAGCTGGCATCTTGTATAGTTTAAGCCCATAGTCAAATACTATTCCTTTCTCTTTCTGTTGGTTTTTGCAACAGATTCTCTGAAAGAAGTGCTTTTTGAAAAGCTGCCTGGAATTCCATAAAGTGCCTTTGTGCCACTCCATATTGTGATGTGGATTCTTGTTGTAGGACAAGAGAGGCAGAGTCATCAGTATCTCTCTCCTTTCCTTGCCTTCTCTTAGCACTGACTAGCAACACTGAAATTTACGAGCTCATGAAAAGTATGTAGTTCATGTTCATACTTGTGCAGTTGCTGATCATTACAACTTGTTTGGAAGTTCTGTGTATATGTGTGGTAAGGGTTGTGGTCATACTGTGCTTAGAATGTAGATCAGTTAGGGCATTGTTATATCTCCTACTCTCAGAATAGTATTTGACTAATAAATGAATTGGAGCAATTAGATGGGTAAAAAGTAAAAATTGTGTGGGCAGTTTTACCGGAGGCAATATTATGGAACAGCAGGACAACGGCTATATATATGCAGTAAGCTGCCAGTAACGCACTTCAGTTAAAATTAAACGGAGATGGGAAAGCTGTTGTTGTATCAAAACCCAGTAAATTTCATGCTTAGCGGGCAACTCCAAATGTTGTTTTCAAGACAAAATCAGAAAACATGTTTTGCTTTAGTCATCTTTAGTAATCTGTATTTATTTTCACAGAAAAGAGAAAACAAAATAATCAAGATAATTTCATGCACAATTTTTAGCTCAGAAAACTGCCTCCATCACTCCAAAGCACCTCCAGTTATAATATATATCAGAGTAATTTTGTTTAAAAAGGGAGCAAGTGTAAGCCAAAAAAACAAACAAACAAACAAAAAAAGACAAACCACCACCAACCCATAAAAAGTAAAACCATTTTCTTAATCTTTTCCAGTGAAGTGCCCTTTCAAACTTATGGCTTCTGTAACTGTTTACAAATTTTGGATAAATCAGAGAATCCACTATTTTAGTCACTTCTGCTGTATTGCTACAGCATAAAAATAAAATAGCTTAGGAGTTCTCCAGACTTCATAACATTTCTGGATAATGAAGAGATCTAGCTTACTTTAACATATTTCCATTTAACCCAACGTGTAATTCCTAAGAAATCTCTTCATGTTCAATGGGTCTTATTCCCAGGTAGCATACATTAAGTTGCAACCTTCATCTAATATGGTAATGAAAATGCAAAGCAAAAAGCCAGAAAGTCATCATCTCTTTAAGGTTCATTAACAGAGCTCTATAAATATAAACCTTGATATAAACAGATATATATATATATATTTATATATATGTATAAAATATCATCTTCAAGGCACTAATGTGATGACGGCAGATATGAGTTAGTAAGAGATCTTCAGCAGTCTTAAATTTTCAATGCTTGTGATGTTTTTAGGGACATTATGTACTGATGGGGCAACTTTATAAGAAAATCTTATTGCATGAACTGCCCAGTTGACATGCATGTCTAGATAGTTGTCCATTCATGTGTTTCCATCTGTTATCCCATACGTTTAATGGTTTCCTTTGGCTATGGATGCACTGCTCCAGTTGTTCTTGCTTCAGGTGGTAGTATTCTGCTTCAGACATGAAGGTATAAGCCATACTGCATAGATCCAATGAAGTCCTGGTGTTCTCTTGATTTTTCTTCATGTCCCTATGCCAGTAACCCCATCCGGGTTACTTTGGCAGAGAGGAATGAATGGATGATGAAGACAATAGTTTTGGGGCAGGAATGAAGATCTAGTTGCTGCAATGAAGGAAAATATTTACAGTGATGAGTGGTTTATACTCAACATCTCATAGAATCGTAGAATAATTGAGTTGGCAATCAAGTCCAACCCCCTGATCAATGCAGGAATCCAAATCAAAGTGGATCTGACAAAGGATTGTCCAGTCTTCTCTTGAATGCCTCCAATGTTAAGAGCACTTACCACCTCCTAAGGTAACTGGTTCCATTGTTGTACTGCTCTAATAGTTAAGCAGTCTTTCCTGATATTTAGCCTAAATCTGGCTTCCTATAGCTTGAGCCCATTATTATTATGTGCCTTGCACTCTGGGATCATAGAAAACAGATCCTAGCCTTCCTAGGTATAACTGTCTTTCAAGTATTTGAAAAGGGTTATAATATCTCCCCTCAGTTTTCTTTTCTCAAGGCCAAGCATGCCCCGTTCTTTCATTGTTTCCTCCTAGGGCTTGGTTTCCAGTCCCCTGATCACTTCCCTGCATGTCCTACAAAACTTGCCTTTCATTACATATGCTTGTGTAATACATTTGGATTAACGAACACTGCAGATTTTGGGGAATTCTGTAACCATCCACAGAATATCTGAAGTGGCTACAGGTGACATGATAACAGACTAATAACAGTTTTTCCTCTGACATATGAGAAGGATTAAGACAAATAAATGGTTATAGCAGATAACTCAAAATGTTATGAAAGATGTCTGAGAGGTGATATGATAGCAATATTCAAATATGGGAACAACTGTTATATGGAAGATGAAAAACACGTTTCTCTTCTGTGGCTCCAGAATGTAAGACTCAATGTAATGCAGTCAAATTATAAGAAAAGAGATTTCAATTAATTTTAAGGAAGAATGTTGTGACAGTAACAACACAATGGACAACCCTGGAAGGTGGCAGACTCTCTTTCACTAGAGATGTTTAAACAAAGATTGGCCGGCTACTTGTCAGGGAAGATTCAGCTGTGGATTTCTTGCGTTGGCACAGAGTGTGACTCAATGATCCCTGTGGCTCCTTCCATCTCCACAAGGCTGAGATTGGATAATTCTAGAATGTAGTACTGGGAGAAAAGGGACTACTGGATTACAGGACAACTTGCCCCTGGGTCTTGGGGCAGGCAGCAATTATTGTAGGCCAAGGACACCAAACTCTATGTTTCATGCCCAAGCCTGGAAAAACCTATTTGTCTTATGGATCAATGCTCTGCCTAATCTCCATCAAAGTTAGGGATCTGGAATGCAGGATAGCATATTGGCTTTCAGGTCCTACATGTCAGCATCAGCAGAGCTCCAAAAAAGTGGAGGTGTCACTTGCAGCACCTCCCTTTTGTGTAGTCCACAGATCCCAACCCACCCATTTTCCCCCAGGCAGAAAGAGATAAATTGCCTAAAATGTGATCTCTGTTAAAGCAGGACAGCTGCTCCTTCCCTGCATAAACTTTCTCCTTTCATCAAAAGAGGGGTTTACAAAAGTGGGCTTGGATTTCCAGCCATCTCTTTTCTTTGGGTGTGTGTGTGGCTCATGACAAGCCCCAAGGACACAAACTGAATCCCTAGAACATGTCTGCTTTGATGTAAATGGATAAAAATGAGAACAGTCAATACTGTGTTCTCCTATCTGAGTCATCCTCTTCTCTGTCACTACTACTCTAGGTTTATGATGCAAAGACCACCTAGTTAAGCCCAATGTTATATAACATTGTCTCTTCCTTCTCCACACTTCACAGCCTCATTCCCAAGCCCTGTTCCTTCCCACCCATTACCTGTTGCAATGTGTTAATCTTGACGGCCCTTACCTAAATGCATTTTCTTTTATTCACTATGTGCGCAACCACATTCTAACTCCACAGTCCTATGAACTATCACAACAACATAATACAGAAGGGAAGGGAAGGGAAGGGAAGGGAAGGGAAGGGAAGGGAAGGGAAAGGAAAGGAAGGGAAAGGAAGAGAAGAGAAGACCCACAATCTCTCCTTCTGAACTTCCGAAGTCCAAATACAGCATCTTGGCCCCATCATCTGAGGACATCTGTAGTCTTTCAAAAGGCTGCTGCAAGAGGATGACTTTGTTGAGGCCTGGCTCCAGGGTGGAGATGGTGAAGCCCTTGTCGATGTGGATGGACAGCGTGCAGTCTTTCCCGTTCCAGGTACATGCTGCAGGAGGAGGAAAAAGTAAGAGCAAAAGGGATTCTGTACTTCGTACTGAGTCCAGCTTTCTAGAGAGGGATTTGAGGGACACAGAAACATACTGCACATCTGGTAGCTACAGTCACATTTGACAGCAGGACTGATCCTGAAAAGCTGAAAAAATGAGCACTTCATTAGGATATCTGAGATAAACTGCAACTATCTCAAGACCAGGGCAAGACATTTTGAAGCGTGAAGAGGTGCAGCAAACAATGCTCTCCATAATCCATAAAGATGTATGGCATTCTGAGACATGTGATAGAAAATTCCGCTTATATTTCTGCCCATCCCTAGCAGCAAACATACAATACTCATATATTTACTACCTTTTTGTTACATCCAGTCTGCTGCCCACTCTGCCTAATTGCTAGGACTGGATCTATATTACCAGTTGCTGTTGCTGTTTGCTATCAAGTTGCTTCCAATTCATTGTAACCCTAATCGGGTTTTTGAGGTATGTGAAATGTTCAGTGACTGGATTACCATTGTCGTTTCCTTGGAGATTTGAATCCTCTTGAGCCCTACTCTGATGATCTATCCAGTACATTATACTGGCTGTCATATTATTCATTACTCAAGAGTAACACAGGATGTTGGCAACAACTGGTGCATATGGTGGTAGGCTTTGTCCTGTCTGTAAAACGAGGACAGTTCATCACCATTCTCATCCAATTTACTACTCATCTCTGAGGCTGTACGACTTTTAATTTACTAGTCACATCTGGGAGGATGGAGAAACTGTCTAAAGAACAAGGACCTTTTAGGTCAGTATTACAATGTGGAACTGAAGTGAGAGACTGCCTGAAACACAGAGGTGCATACAGTACATGCATTCCAGTCCTACATAAAACCCATTCAGATGTTATTTATCCACAAAGAGTCAACATGTGAAGAGGAAAACATCCTGTTAGCTCTTCTTTATTGTCACTTTGTTCACATGGGAAGTGACACACATATAAAAATGCTTTCTTTCCACATGAAGGTTCCCCATGTAAGTATAACTGCTGGAAAACCAGGGTTGTTGCTTGTGCAGCCAACCCCCACATGAACCCCTCCCATTCAGATGTGTTGCTTTCCATGTGAGGAAAATGTCAACAGAGGGAGAAGCAGGTCCGATGTTCCCTCATTGTGTATTGACTCCATACAGATCAATAAAATGCCTGAATAGGAGGGCTAAAGCCTCCATCGCAAGGGTCCAAATGCAAAGCTCCATCTGCCTTCTTACCTGTTGACACTTCCTGGACACATTCTGCTGCGTTGTGGCAACCATCCACCAGCATCCTCGTCCAGGTGGCCAAGTCCCGGTGTGTCTCCACACTGAACAGGTGCGTATCCACCCCTTTCTTGGTTCCAGTCCGTAAAGCAAATGAGAGTTCTGAATCATACAGAAGGGAGCCTTTGGACGGCCCAGAGTGTACAAGTCTGCACAGATTGGGAAAGAAAATGTCCTTTCAATGTGCAATCTCTCAACTCTGTCCAAGCCATTATAGTTAATTATCAGTCAAACTGTTCCTGAGCCAATGTGAGCCTATTCCCAGTACAAGCACTGTTTATGATTCATTTGTTCCTCCCTTTCTCCCTGTGTGGAAACAATAAATTAAAAACAGAAAACAGCTAAAAATAAAACTACATTGTACTTTAAAACAGAAATAACTAGAATTAAAAACAAACTCTGAATTAAAAGGATTCAGGAGTGCAAGGGGAAAAGAAATATGCCAGCAGACACCACAGAAAGGGTCGTCCTCAGCACACATTCAGTGGCCAAAGGCCTGCCTGAATATCCAGGTCTTTGTCTGGCAGTATAAGGATGGGAGAGAAGGAACAGCGTAACCTGCTTTGGAAGGAATTTCCAGCAGCTACCAAAGAGGTCCTTCTCTCCTGCCCTCACCAAATGTGCCTGAAAGGGAGGTGGGCAGAAAGAAAGCTCTCTCTGAAGATACTAAAACCTGAGCAGCCTTCTATGGAGTGACACAGTCATTTAGACAGCCTCAAGCTTAGCCATATAGGACTTTACAGGCTCACATGACACTGTGAATTGTGCCTAAAACAGACCAGCTCCCAGTGAAAGGCTACTATTTGAAGCTACAAGAATAGTACATTTCTAAGTCACCCAGCCCCTCATTCCCTCTAAAAACTCCCCAAATTCTTCTCTCTCCTGATTACTCAGGGCAGCAAAGGTAGTACCCACTCAGTAATACAGAGTAATGGCATTCCATAAAAGAAGAGAAAGACCTGTTTTCTCTCTTATTATTATTACTATTTTCAGCACCAGCCAGAAAAGTTGTACTATTCCCTCCAACGGTAAATACAGAGGCAGAATCATTTAAGAAGGGGGTAGGTGGGTCAAGTACTTGAGACAGGAGTCAGAATCAAGTTCTTTTCCACGTCAGATGTTAACGAAACTTGGTGATGCATCTGCATGCTCACAAAAATATCCTCCTTTTTGGGGGAAGGGGAGAAGTCTACAAGTGGAGAGGGTGGTGCCCTGGAATGTTCACCAACACCTCTATCATTAACAGAGGTTTCAGAGAGAGAGAGAGAAACCTGCCACTGAAAATTTTCCTGCTATGATGCTTCTTTTAGTGTAATAAACACTTAAGGGCACAGGAGCTTTGGCCCACACCTAATCTGGCAAATCCAATTCCAGCTTTTCTCAGAGAACTTTTATTATGCCTACTGCTTTTAAGAAATTGCACTACAGCCTAGTGGTTCCTACAGTTGAAATGCCAGATGTTCTTTGACTTGAAGCCACAGCCTAATGGTCAGGGCTTCTGAGAGCTATGATTTCCAAATATCTGGGGCCCCAAGTTTGGAAATCATAGCTGTAGTCCATGGTGTTTGGGTTTGGTCCTCATTATTTGCAACTGCATCTTCAAAGAGGTGAAACAAAACCAATGTCAAGTCGCTTCCAACTTATGGCAGCCCTATGAATGAGAGATCTCCAAAATGCCCTGTCCTCAACTGCCCTGCTCAACTCTTGCAAACTCAAGCCTGTGGCTCCCTTTAAGAGGTCAGTCCATCTTATTGTCATCTTTTCCTGCTGCCTTCCACCTTTCCCAGCATTATTTTCTTTTCCAGAGGCTCCGGCCTTCCCATGATGGACAAAGCCTATACATTGCCTCCTTACCCTCAACCGCTGCTGAAACTATCAAGTAAACAAACTGTGAAGATCTGGTGGGTGAGTGGTGGTATTAGTATATAGTTAATATTCAGTTACACATCAGCATAGTACAAAACCTCAGCGAGAAGACAGATTTCAACTTGTTTGCTTCAAATGGTATTTTAAGGTATACATAAAAGATTTTTTTAAACAAAAAAAAGAACAACAGCAGAACATCTGAAACATTCAGCGCTACCCAACCCAGGCATTATCTGGGCAAATGTGGCTCCCAACATTCATACACGATGGCAAAAATTGGCTTGCTGTTGCATCAAGTGTGTAGCTGCAATATCACTTTTTTATTTTGGTGTGTTAATGGAGCGACCAGATGTGGAGGAAAAGCCACTAGAGGTCACTCTAACCCTATTTGCAACACTTGTTGATGAATCTTAACTTGCAAAGTGTGAGATTGCCTCGTGAGGGTTTTGTTTTGTTTTGTTTAATCAGATTCCCTGGATCTGCATCTCCTGGACTGTGGAGGCAGTTTCTATGCTTGCTGTGAGGTTCATCTAAGGAAACAAATGGATTAACAACATGCATTGGAAAACTGTGCAAAAATCCTTGTATGCCTTTCTAAAATACACAGAAATGTCAGCGGGGATCCATTTTTAAAAAGCTCAGGGGAAAAAATAGCCATATAGAGGCAACACGTGATGGACCTGGAGGTGGAGAAAAGAGGATATGTGCAGAAAAGGCCTCCCTGGGCTTACTTCTCCTCTCTGCCTTGCACCTGTTCCTCTTGTGACCTCCCTATAACATTTATACTCTGCACTCTAACTATCCTTTTCCCTCTTTAGAAATCTGGTGCCCACTATCTATGCATAAAGCCTTTCCCCACTGTATATGTGACAAAAGACAGCTAAATAGTAATATATTACAATGGACAACGTTACCCATAAACTTCTTTGGAAGCATAGTATTTCTCCAAATCATGTAATGTTGCTAAACAGCTAATGCAATGAATCAGTTTTGCTCCTCCCTGTCATTACTTCTGAGAATTAAAAATATCTTGGGTGTGTTTTGAAAGGATCAGAGCCCAAGCCCTTGAAATACTCCATAGTACTACTGTTGTGAAGAAAACATGCATTCTCCTGGACCTGCATCTCCTAGCGTGTGGATGTAATTTCTATACTTACTGCAAGTTATATGCATTTAAGAACATTCAGAAAAATCTACTGTGAAAAGATGAGCAAGTGGTAATATACATAGGAGGAGCTTTGTGGGGATGGTAAAACTCAAAAGGTAATGGCGGTGATGATAATGATCAGCAGGATGACAGTGGACATTGGCTTGAAGATGGCATAAAAATGAGATTAGACTAATTTAATGGAGGCTAGGTCCCGAGATCAAGAAATAAGCAGGGTTGGCCGACTGAATTAAGTTTTTTGAGTAATGGAACAGTAATTCAATTATTATTTCATTTCAATTTAAACTATGTATTAACTGTCAGAAATAAATTGGAACAAACTGGTTTGGATTACCGGAAGACCTGAGTTAAAAGACCTAAGAAGCAGCACTGATGGCCACAAAGATTCTGCTGGGGCAGTCTCCATCTCAGCCTCTTTCATCCCTTGGCTCAGGAAGGCATAGACTGAGAAGCCATTGCTGCCTTGAGCACACTCTCCTCTCTTGCCCTGCCCAAAGCAGTTTTCCTTTCAGAGGAGAGGTGGACAAAATCATGTGCATTCCAGCCCTAAGCCAAGCAGTGGTCCATGAAGAAAAATTGTCTCCGAGTGAGACAAATCACCCAGAAAGCGTGTGTGGGCTGAATGCTTTGTTCATGGATGCAGCCCACGTGGCAAAGATGAGAAATCACCAAGAGGCATGCCTGAACTCCCTGTGAATTCCCCCTTTGAACTCACATCGAGCACTTCTGCAGTGGCATCTGCCATCTCCCTGTACTGTAGACTTCCTTTTACAGTCAGGCCTCCTCCTGATCTTGCAGGCTTGATCTGACAGCCTGTGGAGCTGGTGGGATTTTGGAGTTTGGGATGCCTCTTCCGCCAGAAATGTTGTCCTTGTCCTGAAAAGATCTGTGCCTATATAGATCCTAGGACTTTCTGCCTTTTTTCCCCCTGGTAAGATATCACTGTAGCCAACTTTAAACAATTATTTACTATAAATACGGTTAAAAATTTGCTTCCTTCAACTTAAACATCACTGAATTAGATTTTTTTTTTGGCTCACTAACAATTAACTACCAGTTAACCGTTAACTAAACTGTTGGTAGAAAATAAAAGTCCCCTTCTATGGTTAGGTTTAACAGCAACTATTAATCACAAAAGCAATGAATCTTGTAATTGGCAAGTTTTATTTCACATACTCTTCTGCAGACTGCAGACCACTTGACTGAATGTATGAAAAAATAGCCAGCAGAGCTTAATAGACCTTCTGTGTTCCAAAATGTACCATATTTTGGGATGGACATCACAGAGGGTTTCTGCCTCTCCTCCTGACTCTAGTGGTTGACATCTGAGAGAATCATCTGGATGGCCACACTGGGAAGGAAGACTGACCACTGCCCTGAGCTATCAGATCCTTCCTTTTGCTTTGCTGTGCAGGATTCTAAGGAAGGTGTGCCATTTTATATAGAAAACGCCTTCTGATTTCTGATATTTGTGGGTTTTTTGTATTGTTTAAAAAATGGCTACTTTGCTTTGTTATTGAAAGCAGCATATTACAATTTTAACTAGGTGAAAGTTCTAAGTAACTTTTTTTTTTTAAAAAAAGAGTAGCATGCCCTCTAAATGTAACCTACAACTCAACTGCTACAGCAAGCATCATGTTTCTTTGTGCCTCTATTCTAAGACTAGCTTACAGGCTTATGGCTCTCACGCAACCACCTGTTCAGTGGAGAACAGAGAGATACCCTTAACCTTGCTAAGTATAAAGTATAAATAAGTATTTCAACATATTTTTTCACCAAGCCTGCATCTGACATCTTAAAGACAGAGACGACATAGCCACCACATCATGATTTTTTAAAAAACTTGCTATCCTCTCTCTCTCTTGGCTTCTTGTCACCATTTCTAGTTCCCTTTTGAATCTCTGTCACAAGGGGGCAGCAGAACCTCAACATTCTCACCATGGAAGGTTTATTAAGGGTGGGAAAGAATTTTGCTGGGAGCTGAGCTTATCAACAAAATTGTTCCTTTTGTAATCTCTCAAGACTGTTGTGAGACAAAGTTGCACCTTGCTTCACCAATCGGCACATCTCTAAAACCTGTAATACCTCTTGGAGAAGAACAAGGTGCAAGAAACTATGGGTACATTTTTTAAAATGCAGATAGCTAAGGATGTACACAGTTGAGAAGGTACGCACACCACCAGTGGAGAAAATGCATGTGAAATGTGTACATCAGGAAAAGGGGTGCATTAGGAAACACTGCCGTGGAAAAAGGCATACAAATTGTCTCTTGCTTCTTCTGCTTTTATCACTGAAACAACGTAAGGAAGATCAAACTGAGTGTGCAAGACTGCTCTAAAGACGTACTGGCTCAATGGGGACCTGTCCTTGTATCTCCCAAGTCACAATACTCTAACCACTACACAAAACATGTCTTCATATGGCCTCTCCCACTGTAACTGGGAAGAATTGTTTGCAGTGGCCAGGGGAGGGGAAGAAATTTTGTGTTGGGTGCCAGTACACAAGGATGATGCTTCCATGAAGTAGGAGTAAAGAACCTTAGGCCAAAGTCCCAATCTGTCCCTCTCGGCGTCCTCAGATGGACATACTCCCTTCCACATGACATCATCACTGAGTGATTTCTCAGAATTTGCAGTTCCCCCCTTCCTTACAAAAGTCTGAAATACCTCTCTTAAAAGTTCAGCTAAAGATAACCTGTCCTTTAAACTAAAATATGCTGGTAGTTTGGGTTCTACTTCCTCACTTTGGACCTCACTAACCTGCTGGTTTGCAGCCATTTTGAGAATGCTAGCCGTATGAAGTTATTTGTAATAAATGGGCAGAAGGTCACTCTTTCACCATTTTAAAAAAAGCGCTCCTCCTTAAGAGAAAATGACACGCAAATAAGTTCCATCTGTAGCAATATCATCTGACAAGTCACAATGAGAAGATCAGGGAGACTAAGCAGAATGGAGAAGGAGTTATCCCCTAAAGTAGGATGGCATAAGGGAGTCACAGAACTGTCCACCTGAAAGGCCAACCTCCCTGCCAATCCACAAGTAAAAAACATCCCTGACAGATGGTCATTCAACAGCTGTTTTAAACAAGCCCAATGCAGGAGAGCCCACCATCTTCTGAGGCAACCAGTTCAACTATCAGATAGCTTTTACTGTCAGGAATTTTCTCTTAACAATCATGCAAACTATCCTTTCCTATAATTTGAATCCACTACTTTGCAAACACAGAGAACAAGCTTGCTCCTTTTTCTGCATCAGGCCTTCAAGCATATGGAAGTGCCTGTAGTAACAAATCTGGATCTCCTCCTCTGCAGGTGTTAAACACAATCATCTTTTTCATCTGTTTCCAGAAGGGTTTGGTTTCCAAACTGTTTACCACCCTGATACATCCCAGAGGGATGTCAATATCCTTCTTAAACTGTGATGCCCGGAAATGGACATAGTTCTGTTGAGGCCTGATTGAAGCAGAACAGAGTGGTACTACTATGTCTCTTAATTTGGACTTCTACTCAAACTTGCAACTGCTACAGTTTTTTTCATGGTCACATTACACGTTTCTCTATTCTTTCCATGCAGCAGATCCACTTCTTTCTTGCCCTTCCTCTTGTTCTGAGCATAGCTGAACAAAGTACCCTTTTGTTACTTTCAACCTCTCTCGGAAGTCTGACCTTATTCAGAACTCCCGACCTTCTCCCTCCAAATATTAGCTATTTGTCTGTTCTTTTCCTTGGTTATCTGCTCCATTTTCATCCTCTGTAAGTCCCCATTTAACACGTTTCCTGGAGCCAATGTTCTGTAACGCAGTGAATCAGAAAGCAGCTTTTTCAAACTGAGGCCAAGAAAATCAGATGCACAAAACAGAACCATGAGCCTGGACCAAAATGGTGGCTTGCATTACCTGGTGGCTATGAGAGGGAAGCTGTGTGTTGGCTTGTTAAGGGCATCTCTGCTTTGTGGGAGACTGCTGTAGAAGAGAAGCTCCTTCTCTGTGAGGATGGCGAGGATGTTCTTTGTCCCATCACCAGGGAGCTAAAAGGCAAGAGGTAACAGTCACAGGCTCACAGAAAAGAAAGCAATGCCTAATTTACAATCTACAAAAGAAGCTTGACTGCCATTTTATGATAAATACATTTTAGAAAGGGGTTCTTGGCATACAGTAAGTTGTTTTGAAGTGAGTCATGCTAAGACTAACTATATGTATTGTTTTACAATGTATAAATTACTTCCTTATCTTTAAAAGATGCCCAAGGTGTTTTGTATGATAAACCAAAAAAAGTGATAGGATGTATAAGTGCTACCATCTAATACCAATGGATAATTGCACCTTAAAATAATGAAGTTAAAATAAGATCAGATTACCATGACATTTTGGTTAATTACAGCCTGCAGAAGGTTCAGTTCTCTGATACCCAGAAGTTAATAGACCTAAATGTGTACCTTTGCTCTCCATTTCCCTTAATCTTTCAAATTGTGGAACTGGCAGGATCTTATATTAGTAAACCTCAATTCTCTACACATACAGATGACCATTAACGGTTACTTATTTTCATTTGATGGCCTGTGGCTTTGCTAACTGGTCATTTTAAATTTGTTTTAAAAGGACTACTCAGGAACGGGCTTGTCTTCCCTGAGCGGTGCTTGGTAGCTACAAGTACATTGTTCCTGTGATACAATTCAGATCAGAAATCCCAGCCTTACCTGCTCTGTGAGCCAGCCAATGTGCTTGATGTCTCTACTTCCAGCAATGCCCACTCCAGAATGCAACGCCTTCAGCTCCTCTCTCACTCTTGGCAAGAAGGCACTGATGTTGCTGTGAATGGCGTTGAACCAGGCCTGGGCAGACGCTTCATCTTTTGCTCGAAGGAACAAAGGAATCCGTCCATCTGCCGAGCACACTTCTAGGTACCTGCAGGAAGAATCACCCTTTACGTGAGACTGAAACCTTTCCAAAAAAAACAAAACAAAAGCTTTTGTCTTATCAAGTGACAATCACATTTCATGCATTTCAGTTTACAGACTTCCTAGAGATAGTTCTCGTTCACAAAGGCTTATAATTTCAGCTTTATGCAAGATCAAAATTCAGTGCACTATCTATCTCTTGCAAAGCAGGGGGACCAGATAAAAGACTTCCTTCTAAGTCTTTGGCTTTGGATATAGTAGCACATGAATTTGGACCCAGTGAAAGGCAGGACCTTCTTTTTTTATGTTTCACATCTAGCCAGTGGCAATGAGCTTTTAATGTGGAGTCAATCCAGAATGTTAAACTGATGCAATCCCATTATTTAGGTGAGCTGATAATACAAAGCTTGTACTGAATACTGAAAGCCCATGCAACATTCAATACACGCTATATCTGCAGCCCTTAGAAAACAGCTCTGCAAACAGGCAACGACTGCTCACTTGGGCCTGTATAAATGATTTCTCATAAGTCTTGATAGCAAATTGCTGCTAATTAATGAAGACCTAGCTGCATGTCTGCCACATGCCATGACTAATATTTCATCAATAAGTAGCCATTTGCCACCAAAACTCACACAATTGCCCTTATGTAAGCAGACTGGCAAAAGGTTTCTTGCTCCTGACAAAAAGAGAGAGGCTGAAAGTATAGCGGCTAGTGAGCTCATAGTGGTCACATCTGAATCATACATTTCCAGAATCACAGCTCACTTTGTTTGCTACCACACTAGGCCAACTCACTTGCAATTTATATTATTATTATAATAATATGATTCCAATTTACCACTGAGGATATTTCTTTAAATATACTGATTATTCAGTATTTTCCATAATATCTGCATGTGCACATGCCTGTACTTAAAATATGCACATTTACATGTATGCCTTAGTTGTCACCCCAACTTTAGGATAGTGAGAGGTAGGTACATATTTAGGTGAATTGACTTGTAGTTTCATTATTCAGGAAAGCACTAGGCACAGCAATTGAATGCCAGCTTTCAGAAAGATAGTCCATATGTTTTGTTCCATACGCTTGTAACACAGGCTAGTCACAATTCCATGCATAGTGTAACCCCAACATTCATTAAGTCAATTTCTTGGCATGAATGCTATGTCACAGGACTGCTGAACCACAGCTTCCCATAATCTCTGAAATTAACCATGGTGCTCAGGGATTGTGCAGGTTTATATTTATTTATTTATTTATTTATTTATTTATTTATTTATTTATTTATTTTGATTGATTGATTGATTGATTGATTTTTTTATTTGATTTTTTTTTTACCCCACCCCTCTAGACAACGTCTACTCGTTTGAATCCAACATTTTGAAGGTCTCAGGTTCCACACTTTGATGCATCACATGCACAGCCCTTCCTACGGAGATCTCATTAGAAGGTTACAACCACTGTGGAAAAATTGGGAGAGCTGTGGACGTTGGTGGGTATACTGGTTACCTGTGTTCTGGATCATTGGGAAGACATTTCCTTGATATGTAGCACATTTTTAATGGGATATTCTTGCCTTCCTTGAGGTCCCGTAAGGAGAGGGCTGGAGAAGATTGCTTCTGAAAGGCCGGAGAAGAGTCCCAACTTACAGTTGCTCCAGTTGAGGAGTTTTTAAAATAGGGAGAAAGCTCCTTCATGTATTTGACTGGAATAGAGAAACATACGGAACATTCTGTTGTGCAATACAAGATGCCCTTATTAGAAGTCCAGAACTCACTAAAGAATGAAGTTGTCACTAGTTAAGATCTGGATGGTGGACTGAATATGGCAGCTGGTAGCTATAGTCCACACTCCAAAGATAAATATTGTATTTGCATTTCAATATCACTAACCATTTCTCATTTGCATTTATACTTACGAATTAGAACGAAGGATAGAAGGCTGAGTCAAGCTTGAGCTAGCTACCTGGGATTGAACCCTGGGTCATGAGCACAGTTTTGGCTGCAGTATAGCAGTTTAACCACTGCGCCATGAGGCTCTTTACAAGAATAAACTTTTGATTTCTGCTGGTGGCCCAGAACTCTCACCAAGAACTATTAATTGTCTAGCATCACAATCCTGAGTAACAAATTCATGACCACACACACAAAAAAGAGTTCTTTATGTACTTCTTCCTTCTTTCCTCCCCGCCCCCACAGATGGTATAAATAGTGGGAGACGTTCAAAGGTATATTCTGGGCTACCATCCCACATATATTTACTTGGGAGTAAGTCTCATTAAATGTAGCTAGGGATTACTTCAGAATATGCATGAATAAGATTGCCCTGTCAATTTCTAGTGTTAAAAATGGTCTTTTCACTCCATGCTTTTGTTGTTGTTGATCATAGTGTGCTCTTATGAGGTAATCTGCAGTTCTTTTCATGTATAATAAATCTGGGCACCTTTCCTCAAGCTTCAAATCCTGCTCTGTGTCACTGTTGCACATGCCATTATAGAAAATATATATCTCTGGAGAAAGTCCTGAAAAAATGTAGCCTCTGAAGGGCAGATTTACTCATCTGAACATTTAGCTGAATGTTCAAAAGCTGATACTAAAAGTGGTGCAGGCTCATCTGTCACTTTGTGTCTGGAAATAAATGCAGGGTATGCATATTCCAACATTTCTTTCAATTTTATTTTCAAAGGCTGGAATGACATGTCTGTGGCTGTGTTTTTAAGAAGCAACACAAAATTGAGTCCTAAGTAACAAAAGAGAACTGAACTATATATCAAGTTGAAAGAGTGCTATCTGTTTCCATAGCCATGAAATGTAAGACACTTGCTTTAACCTTGAACTGACAGAAGACAATTATTGTATCAATCTGGAATCAAACCTCAAGAATGCCAGAGGGACAAAAAACCTTGGTGATGGTATTTAGCACAACACATTTCTAAATAAATTTTTCTTTCTTTCTTTCTTTCTTTCTTTCTTTCTTTCTTTCTTTCTTTCTTTCTTTCTTTCTTTCTTTCTTTCTTTCTTTCTTTCTTTCTTTCAGATAGCTATAATAGCTAAAAGATTTACCACTTTTAGCTTCTATCCCTAAAAGTAACTTCTCTACTTGAGGTAGTTTATTACATATACAACTAGAGCCATGGGAGACCCTGTCAAAGTGCCACCATAAAATCATACAATAATTGAATTAGCCATCAGGTCCAACCCTCTGCTCAATGCAAGGACACGAATCAAAGCAGATTGAATAGTTGATTGTCCAATTTTCTCTTGAATGCTTCCAGCATTGGAGAACTCACCACCTCTTGAGGTATTTGGTTCCACTGCCGTACTGCTCTAACAGTTAAGATTTTTTTTTCACGCTATTCAGCTCAAAAGTGGTTTCCTGTAGCTTGAGCCCACTCTGGGATGATCAAGAACAGATCTTGTCCTTCCTCTGAATGACAGCCTTTCAAGTATTTGAAAAGTGATATCATATCTCCCCTCAATCTTCTTTTCTCATGACTAAATGTGTCCAGTTCTTTAAGTCTTTCCTCATAGGGCTACGTTTCCAGCCATCAATCATCCTTGCTGCCCTCCTCTGAATTTGTCTCAGTTTGTTGGGATCTTTCTTACAGTGCGACATCCAAAACTGGACACAAAACTCAAGAAGAGGACTAACCAGTGCCAAACAGATGGAGACTAGTAGCTCACGACATTTGGAGACTATGCTTCTGTTAATGCTGTCTAAAATAGCTTTTGTCGTTTTTGCAGCCACATGGCACTATTCATCCATATTCCGTTTATGATCTACAACACCAGAAATCAACAACTTTTACCCTGTTATCAACATGAACCTAAACCAGTCCATGTAACAGGTTCATTTTCCGGACCCTACTGTGCAACTGCAGAACAGACAGAGCCTTGCCAGGACATGCAAGAAAAGATGTTGAAAAAATAGAAAGAATGAATTTAGAAAATTTAGATACAGTGGTGCCTCAACTTACGAATGTCCCTACTTACGACCATTTCGATTTACGACCAGCTCCGGCTACAAAATTTTGCTTCTACTTGCGACCAGAGCTTCCACTTACAAACAGAAAAAGGCAGGGGAAAAAGGCGGGAAATTCAAATTTCTAGCTGTAGGTGGCAACGAGGCTGCTTCTTTGTAGCTCTTTCACCCCAGCAGTTAGAGAGTGTGCATCACAGGAGGCTTCGGACTTCCTCCTTCTGCTTCTGAGTGAGGATGTATGTGTGTGTTTGCAGGGAGGTTTTGGTCTGCCTGGTAAAATAAGGTGCTGTTTTCTGCTTTTTAAAAACTGTTCTGGGTGTTTTTGCAGCGTGGTTTTGAGCTGGGGGGTTATGTTTCTGTGCTGTGCTGTGTCTTGGGGGGGTTTGTTTGTTTGTTTGTTGAGTTTTCCCCCTCATTTCCGATGGGTCTTGGTTTTTTGGGGGGGGTTTCCCCATTTCTGATGGGTCTTGGGTTTTTTTGGGCCCCCCCATTTCCGATGGGTCTTTGGGGGTTTGGTTGCTTTTTTAGGGGGGTTCCCCATTTCTAATGGGTCTTGGGGGTTTGTTTGTTTGTTGGCTTTCCCCCCATTTCCGATGGGTCTTGGGAGGGTTGATTGCTTTTTGGGTTTTTTTCCCAAGTCCTGCTTACTTCCCTTGCTTTTTCCTTTGTTTTCTTTGCATTTCCGACCTGCCCCCTTTGTTCTCTGTGCATTTCCAATGTGCTCAATTTGTTTTCTGTGCATTTCCAATGGCTCTTTGCAGGCTTGATTGCTTTTCTTTTCTTTCCCTCCCTTCAGCCGGAAGGGAGTAATCGCATTTCCAGTGAGTCTTGCAGTGATTTTTTTGGTGATTTTTTTCTTCGGCCGGAATGGATTGGTTGCATTTCAATGCATTCCTATGGGAAATGGTGCTTCGACTTAACGACCATTTCAAGTTACGTCCATCTTCTGGAATGGATTATGGTCGTAAGTCGAGGCACCACTGTATAATCAATGCAGGGAAAACAGTGAATAGACACATGGTGAGACAAAGTTAATAACCTGGCAACCATATTCTGGAGTAGTTTATTATCATCACCCAAATTCACACAGCTTATTATTTAAGCTGTATTCTGAACTAGTTAAAAGTGTCTGACACTTTTCAAAAGCATTCCAACATATAACACATTGCAGGAAAGTATCTAAAGTGACCGCATGATTACAGTGGCTTCAGTGCACACAGTAAAGTTGTCATTGTTCCAAGATTTAACCTAAATGCTTGCAAATGAACTTACATAATAAACTTTTTTGCAGCTCTGTGGTAGCATGGTAAATATAGACTGAGTTTCTAGCAGCACACACGGTGAATCAGTCACACAGTGATTTTATCTTACATGCCAAAAAACTGCACAGATCTATTCAACCCGCATCCTCAAAGTGCCAATATGGTTATGCAAATATGCCAGATGGTAATTAACCTCAAGCCCCTTTCCTTCATTCTATTCCAAAATCAATATTTAAAGAAAAAGGTTGGTGTTTGAAATTGCTGCCCTAAAATCTTCCGGAATCACTTTTTGCACAGTGTGTCTCAAGTTGTTCTTAATTGGTGACACAGCCATTAGAATGTGCAACCTTGAAAGCAGATGCATCTCAAATGTGGTATTCAAAAGGATTTTCCCCATCTCAAATACATACTGTCCTGGGCAGCTCTCCAAAACATCTCACAGCATAGATGGCATGCCTGTTATATTCTAGTACACTCTATAAGTTATTCTCTCTGTGTCTTCACTGGTTTTGTAAGATGCCTGTCTGGTGCTGTTCCTCAGGCAGGAAGGACACCAGAGGACTAGAAATAGGATACAGTGTCAGTGGAAACTATTTCAACTACAAATTATTGCACCAGTGTAGCAATATGGTTGAACCCGGAAGCCAAGACTGTTAGTCAAATCCCTTTGTAGCCAGGGAGCTTCCTGGTGACGATTTAAAGTGATCAGGGTGTTGAGAAGAAACCAGCAGAGCTGGATGAAGATTTGACAGCCTGCTAACCAGATTACTTTCTACACTTGTTCCCAATATGTCGGATAAATGTTCTTGCCTGTGCAAGCTGTTCTTTGACCACCAGCCAAAAGGCAGTTCAAAAGCACTGGGATGCTGGCCAAGATTACTCCAAGTGCAGTCTAGTGGGATCCTCTGTCATTGCAATGGATCAGCTCATCAACAGGAGAGAAATATATATTGTGTATGCAAAGCTACATGCTTCTGTTCACATTAACTAGAAGGAGAGTGCCACTCAGTGCAAACTGAGTCTTCAGAGGAACTGCATGTCTAGTGCTGCATGTGAGGAAAAGCTTGTGACACAGTGTCTAAGAGACTGAGCAACGGATGAGAACATACTCTGCTGAAGTCTTTTACTTGCAGTAATTCACAAGACAGCCTGGAACAGCTCTAGAAGGATGGCCTACCCCATCTTATAAGGTGGCTGTAAGAATCTGAAAATAATTTAGGAAATGTGTTCTGAACATTCAAAGACTGTAGCTAAATGATTAAGATCTCACTTCAGAGAACATCAGGATTACTGTAGGATAGCATGCTTAAAAATTCTGACAAGAACCATCACAAAGAACAGTGGGCAAAAAATATACTGTATGTATCTTGATGCAAGCTACAGAGATTGTTGAAGACAGTGTTAAGAGCTCTCATAAATTCATGTATTGGTTTGAAAAATTCCACCCCATCTCATTATCCTT